CTTAATGTTAAGTGCATGCCCGGCACCATGACAAAAATCACTGGCCATTTCGTATTTTTGTCCATTTGCATAAATTAGGGTTCCATTAGTCAGTTTAAATTCATTATACAGATGCAAAATAGCACAACTCTGTGGTAGAATGAGAAATAAATTGTGAAAATGCATGCTTTAAACTCGTAATTAAACAGTAATATCATTACGAAGGGCTTTGTATAATTTCAGCTAATCTAGCCGAAAAGACGTTAACCAAAGGAACATTCTAAATTGCCATAAAACAATTGTTAAATACATTTGTTTTGCCATTATTTAAAAACTTCTAAAGATCTATAAATTAATGTGACTTTGGGTTGAATGCATTTTTCCAACAGAATATTGTCTTTTCTTTTCAAAATAGAAATAATTGTCAATGCACTGTGGTTGTTTCTGGAAGAATAATATGATATAAACATACTGAGTTATGTATATTCGTAATTTTTTAAATGTAATAAAACGTTATTTACCAATTTATTCAAAAAAAATCAAATTTGACGCAAAACGTAAAAAAATTTACATAAAAAATGAACAACAAATGCAAGAATTCAAACTGCTTAATGTACTGTACCAAATTACTAATAAATAAAACAATGAAAAACCTCCTCAAAAGAAGGAAAATCCTTTTTAGGAGAAAAAATTCCTAGGAGGATCAACTTACATTTTGAAAGATTACGATTCTATATATTTTTTAATTAAAAACACAGCACAACCTGTAGTCAAAAATAATGATTGATTGCGGAAGAATACTGACGGTAGCACTCATGAGAAACGATGGAAACCGTGTTGACTAAAAACACACCTTCCTACCAAAAGAAGGCATAGGCAAGCAACCTACAGTTTCGCAGATATTTCCTGTAACTCTGCATGAAGTAATGGTATGAAGAAAATAGATGAAATGCTAGTACTAATGATTATATCCACAATAAACCACTAATTATCATTACGGCATTGTTGCTAAATTATTGATTTCTTTTTTGGGAATTTCTAAGTATTTCATCATTTTTATTTTTTGACATTTCTGCAACATCTCCAAATGCATGGCGCTAATTTTAAGTCACTACCGGCATACGTTGCAAGTAAAAAAATTAATTTAAACTCAAAAACTAAACTAGGTGTAGTATAAAATAGTGCGCTTAACTCTTTCAGAAATGCCTAAATCTGAGAGAAAACCGCTTCAACCTGCTAAGTTAAAAATAACTTAGTAAAGTTCATTAAACACTGAACCGTACTTTCGGCTTGGAGACTTCAAGTAGCTACTTTTAATTTTTGCGAAATGCGTTTCAAACATTTGCAAGCAATGAGGCGTTGCAACTGTTTTTATTTACTCTTTCGGTGTATTTCGATTTATTCGGGAAACTTAATCCTGTATCTGCATATGTACTGAGCCTTACGAAATCCAGCGTTGAGTTACCTCTACATCCGCTCCTACGTCTATAAAATATATTGCTCAAATAGATCTCTTATGATATCCAGGCAGGAGCAGCGGGGTGACTGATGCCAAACCCAATATAATTTCGTGATAACGTCAATTTCGGACTAACAAATGTTTAGTCATTCCATCGTGGACCCCCGTAACGATTGTGATTTGTTTTCCTTTGGGGATGGGCTAATCAAATTAACTTAATTTGTGCGCCTAGTAAGTTGCAGCTTTCGGTAAAAGAGGTGACTCGAATGAACACTAATCTATTAAATATTACCAGTTTAACTTCATAAACGTCAATATATTCGATTGTTAAATAAAATCCATCAACATGTTTGGAAAACAAAAGTCCGGTCACCAAATTGTGTCCCTTGTAAAACATGGGTGTTTGAATAGAATAGAGGCAAATGTTTGTATGGATTTAACAATTATTTTGCAGTTTAACAAGAGCATTTTAATTTTATACAGCGAAAACAGAAATACTCTGAACATATTTGAAATAAATCGTAGGCATCGTAAATTTAATTAAAGCAATGTTTGCAGAGCGAATACTCGAATCGATATATGATTAAGTAAAAAAGTATATAAATTGAAATTTACGCCTTTACTAATACCACCGTTCAAAACGATTGAGAAATTATTGTTCCTTTGTTTCCTCTGAGTTGTGTAAACCCAATCTAATTAGTATCATAAGAAAATATTCAAAGAGATACAACATTTACGGGACATGGAAAAAACCAACATTTAAATTGCTAAATAATTTTACTGAAGCTATAAGAATATTAATTTCTCTCTCTCCTGTCCGTTTACTCCCGGGAGAGTATGGTGACATCATGTCTCAATTCCTCAGATCGTGGTTCTCCATCCTCTTGAGCTGCAAAAGAAGCTTTCTGCAAACCGTGTGCAATTATTTTTCCCTATATAATAAGTTTTTCCATCCAATTCGTGCTCTTGAAATGTGTTAAATATACCGTATTACACGTTAGTACGATGTTCTGTGTATGAGATTCGCAGGATTCTTATGTAGGCCCACATTTCTAAAGCGTCTCTCATCCTTCGATTGGCCATTTTCAAAGTCCAGGTCTCAGAGGCATACGAGGCAATAGGAAGGATCAAGGAGTTTAACAAATTCAGTTTGTTGCGTTGAGATATGGCAGAGAGTTTCCATCCTCGAGTTAGTTTTATTGTTGAGTTACGTGCTATGGTCAGTCTGCGTTCGATTTCTTCGTCACAACAGTCCTTGTTTGTAATAGGTGATTGAAAACCTTACAGTCTTGTTATCATAATTTGCGTCTTCTTTCTGTTCAACGCAAAACCTTGTTCTCTGCTGAGCCTGTCCAACTATATCATGATTTCCGTGACCTGCGTATCTAAGGTTACTAATTCTTTTTCTTCCTATGGTTAAACCCCCTTGATGAAGACGAGACGCCTGAGATTGAAGAGCGTCGGTGACACACAAGGCGGTATTTCTTGTCTTACACCGCACTTTGAGCTAAACGACTTAGAAAGCGTTTTATTGACTTCCACCTTCCCGCAGCCGCGGCCTTAAAGGTTTTTAAGCAAGATAATCATATGTTTTGGCATTCCAACGTTTTCGAAGATAGCCGCAGTTTCTCCCACTTTACTCAGTCAAATGCATGCCGCAGTCGACAAAGCACAAGTAAGTTTTTACATTAAATTCATATGCTTTTTCTATTATTTATCTTCCTTTCAGGAGACAAATCCTTCCTTTTCAAGGTTGTTCCCTTGTTCCCTTTCCGGGCATGAACCCTGTCTGTTCGTCGGGAGTCTGTGGAAGTGGAAAAGGTTTTAAACCCTTGTTTATGACATAAAGTAGAATTTTACTTGCATGTGACATAAGCGTTATTGTTCTCTAGTTACTGCGGCCTGTAAAAGAGCCTTACTTGTGTAACGGCAGGTACACCGATTCACGCCATTCTTTTGGCCATACCCCAGTTTGCCAAATTTTAACACACACTTTGTGGATTGCATCAACACCACACTCGTCCACATTTTATTGTTTCAGCGGATATGCCATAATTGCCAGGTTATTTGTTGTTTTTTAGGTTTATGGCTTTTTCTACTTCAGCTTTGAAGATTGGGGGATTTTCTTCTACCTCATCCATTTTTGGTAACTCATGGTCTTCGGCTTTATGAGTAGAAACAATTTTTCGCATTGTCTCTATAGCTCTGATGTGTTGTTGGCATCTGTTATTGTCTCCCCGTTATCATTTTTAACTATTTGTCTTTGCGGCTTAAATTCTCAAGACAAATATTTTACTGTATCCTATAGTTCGTCGGATTTATTTGTTTTTTTGCATGTTCTTCACGTTCTTGGCATACTCTTGCGATGTGCTGGTTTTTGTCGTTTTTACAGGATTTTTGAACTTCTTTGTCAAGAGCCCATTAATTCTCCGGGGTAATAGTTCTGGACAGGCTCAGCTTTCTCTGGCCATGTGTTAAGCAGATTGTTCCTTCCGTCATCCAGTGTTTTTTCCTTTATCGGTTTTGGATTTGTGGTTTTGCTGCCACAAGACACAATCCACTGTTTTGAGCGCTTCCCATGTTTGATCTGAGTATCCTTCAATCAGCGAAGGACCGGAAGTTCGTATCGTTTCTTCGACTAGTCTTAACAAGAGCCAGATCCATTAGTTTTATAGTAAGCCCGATGGTGATGTCCATGTTTCGATGGTGACGTCCCACAGACATCGAGAATGGTGTTTGAATGTTGTGTTTGATATGGTCATATTATTATTTGTGCAGAACTAGATAAGTCTTTCACCGCGATTATTTCTCTCGCCCAATCCACATTTCTCAACAACATTTGTTATGTGGGCATCGCATTGAAATCACCCGTTACAATTAGGAGGTCCTCTTGCGGAATGTTCAAAATAACTCTTTCCAGTTTTTTGTATTCAACTTCCACTTCGTCATCTAAGTAATCATTTATTTGGTACATATATATGTACCTAGATAATATGAAGTTTAACTGGTTTGGACTGAAATTATATTCTAATTAATCTATCGCTGATGGCCTCTTAGTTTTCTACATATTTGGTGTACTTCTTGTTGACCAAAAATGCGATTTCATTTGGAAATAGAGAAAATCCAGAAATTGAGGGGCATATGGATTTCAAGGAGAATCAATTTATCACCGTACGAAACAATGAAGAAACTCCAATCAATTTTGTTAAAGAGATTTGTATTTTTTATTATTTAAGATTTTGTAATTTAAGATTTTTATGTAAGTAATGTGGATTTAGACCGTTCTTAGTATTTTTAATACATTCACCTGAATTGAGGTAAATCAAACATAATTATACAGTGGAGACGCGTTTCTAGACCTGCCACTAGATTACATGCCACCCAGATTAACTGCACTTTACTTCTTAAAAGTGTTGAAAGTGAGATCTCAAACTTAAAGATATTTTGTGCAAGGTTCATGAAACTCAAAAATATTGAAGATTTGATTAATAGAGTTACAATCGAAACAAAACAAACTTTTTAATAAAACAGCTAATATTTACTACAACAAATCAAAGCCGGGAGTTTCATATGCATTTACCTACAGTAACAATCGTAAATAAAATTATTTGAAATTTATTCAATAAATCAAATTAGCTGGCATATATAGCGTGGCGACCGCCTCTCCTGTTTCAAACGCTATTATATTATTCCCGAATTTCTGGCGGTTTTCATTCATTTGTTATATCTTTGCAATTCTGGAATAAAATGGTTAATTTTATCATAAATCGTGTTTTTAGGTGAAAGGCTGACAGTTCGAATAAATAAAGCTATATGGCACGCATTTGGGTAATTAGGGAACAAACATTGAGCGAAATGCTATTTGAAATTTTATTTAATTAAAATCGGTTGATTGTGATGACACTAGATAAATATAATTTATAAATTTAATCAGCAGCAATATTGTGTATAACAGCAGTACTATTTAAAAAGTGCATTTTACGCTCAGAATAATTAATCAACTATTTATAAAAATATAAACTGGTACGATAAAAGATCTCAGCTAACTGACAATCAAATCATAGGGTTTTCAAACAAACAAGCAAAAGACATACACAGATTTCATCAGAGAACGAAAAACAACACTAGTATGTAGCCGAAACCAGGGGTTACAAATACGATTCCTGACTAAAGAAGGAATAATTTTTAACTTTAACAAATTTGACACCTGTGATGCCTCCAGATATTAAATCTAATGAGGCTAAATTAAATATAAATGCTCTTTATTTACATAATAATTGAATTAGTTTTTAAGAACAGAGAAAACTTCACTGCCTCCTGTAATAATTCTTCAAAATTTTTATTAACTTCGAATTAAATTTCCAGAACACTACCTTGATGTACCGAATTTAAGATATATCTTCCACATTTTCATATAAAGCTTATTGGTTTGAATACAAATATATGCTAATTCGAGTCGATCTTCGAAACACACTAAATATTTTCTGATTTAGTGACTGAAGCATCGTTTACTTGAGCGAAAAAAATCGAATCGTAAGAATTAAAAGATAAATTTGAATGTTTTATTCCAAGATCACCGATTAATTTTACCCGACATAAGTGGTTTTCTCACCCAATCCGTATACTAACTAACAACAATATTTTCGTTTGTTCAGTTTAGCATTGTTCAATCTCCCTGGCATTTGAGATAAAGAAGACTTTAGGGCTAAAATTCCTTTGAAAGATATTCAATCCATTAACAACTTGAAAGTTTCCTGTGCTTAACTTAAGTAGTATTATATTGCCCGTTTTAATGATACTCCCAAAGAACTTCTAGAAAACCCTATTCAAACTTTTTAGTTACGCTCGGTTTAGATAGGTTTAGTTTTTGGATCTTGTGCATTTTTTGAATGAGCGAGATTTGCATTCTCTATGAGGATATTTTACTTTGCCAATTATAATTGCCATTACTTAACTTTCCAAAATGTTGGTTCTAATTGTTTTAATGCGGCAATAAAAAGAACGAGAAAAGTAACAGAAAGTTGATCACAGCTATAAATTCAAACCGAATAAAACAGATATAGAATCTTTACTTTGAGCAAAATTAAATTATGGGTGTATAGTTTGCTAGTTGCTACTTTCATACTAGTCACTTCTCATTTTATGCTAAATTAGAATATAAAAAATTGGTATGTTGAAAGTAATTTTATAGACGACGTTAAGGCTGAAATAGAATTAAAATAAAATAAATTGTACCATTGTTCAGCATTTGAAGAATCGTTTTATATGAGCGTAGGATATTAAGTACCAAAAGAGCAGACTAAAGCGAAAGGATTTTACTTATGACTTACGTTACAATTATAAATTTAGTTTGGGTTAGTTTGGGTTTTTACGTTTTGTATGTTCTTGACACAACATTTCTACTATTCGTAACAAGCAAATTGTTTACTAATGTTATAATAACATTCATTTTCTATTGTTTAGTTATAAACTTGATTTTATTCTACTTTTTGTAGACCGCAGTGTTTTCTCAATTTTTCAAGATCCCTTCTAAAACAAGTTTAGGGCCTTGGAAAAAAATGAGGTCGATAAGTATATGGTTACTATTTTCGGACGGGTCTAAACTCATTTATTTACATTTCGAGTCCAGGTTAGGTGCAATGTTAGACAGGTTTGGGCAACGGAGAGCTGAAGCGATGGGCAGAAAGGTCATTAAGTTGATTGATGCGATAACATTAGCTCAGGCTTTATATTTTCGCAATTTCTATTACCGTAGAGCGAAATGCGGCTACCTGAAGTTGAGGATGCGAAAAGTTTTTTAATATTTTTCAGGCAGGTGCCACAATTTAATATTTTGATTACATCACATTAATCTAGTGTTTCTAGGTGAACTGAATTATATGTTTAAAAGTATTATATTTGTACATTAAATGCATCGTGGATTAGCCTCACAAATACTACTTTTTCCGGGAAGTATGATACAATAAATTGTAAGTATAAGATATAAATAGGAACATTTTTAGGTTGCTCCATTCATACGACTCGCATATCAAAACTTCATAATAAGCAAGACGACCGTATGAGACTAAAAATGTAAAACAAATCAGAACATTATTTAATTATTTAATCAAATATGATTTCTAAGTGAAATGAAATTGAACCATTGGCTGGCTATGCAATATTGATCAGAAGCTAAAGAACTTTCAGTACTATTTAAAATACATGAAATAACAGAAAGTTCCGTAATTAATACCTTAGAAGAAGAATATAATAATAAAATAACAAAATATATGTTGAGCTAACAAATAAAAGTAGCAACTAAAATATAAATCCGTGTTTCCAACAAAGAATACATTAATATGCCTAAATGCACAAACAAAAAGCGACTTTTTCAATATCTCTTTTAAAGTAACGGCCTTGTAATTCTTCAGACTTAAAAATTGGTAATATTTCTTCAGTTCTAATTGATACCTTTAAAACCTTTTTAGTTTTTCTGTATCTGTACGAGACAATTTTTTTCATCATTGACTGACATCTATTTTATATCTCTTAAAATCAGGAAGGTGTTAAATGATTTTGGTGTTGTTTGCTAAGTTCTTAATGCAGGCTGAACCTAAGAAATATATTTAATATTTTCAATTGATTTTAACTTTTAAGTGTAGAGTTATTTGAAGAGAACAGAAGCTGGTTCGACAATTGACTGAGAAAATGTTTTTGAATAAGGATAGTTATTGTCTAATAATAATAATTTCTGTAGTCTAGCAATAATAATTTCATGTTTTATCTGGTAAGATAAAGTGAAAGAGAACTGACTCAACAAATAAGTGACAGGCACGCTCAGCTTTAATTTTTTTTACTTCAATTTTTTTAATTTGTATTTCTCTTTGCTTACTATTCTAAATAGGTATTGTTGATCTGTCTTTTCTTTTCCTTTCACGTTGGTAACAATACGCTCACTTCATCTCAAACTTGATTTAAGTTTTATAGACTATAGGTTTGTATGGGGCAGTTTTCCTTGATAAACCCATTAAATTTTTAATTGATTTGACTTAAAAGCATGTGACTGTTAAATTAATTTCGTATTATTTCATTCCCCCGAGTCAAATACAACAAACGCAAACTAGTGTTAAGCATAGTTAAAAAGCCTAGTGAGTGAGATTACAAAATGTAAAAGCTTGTCGCTATCAAATGATATTGATCTATCTTTTATAAATGAAAAAGGGAAGCAAACACGTTGAGATATTTGAACGTATTTTGAAAAATCAAACAATCTCAGCTACAATTTTCAGCGTTATTCGTTTCCTGCAATATTCCGGAACCTAACCATTCACCAAGATTCATATCCGACAAAAAATGATCTAATTATACTTATTTGCCTGCGTGAAAGACGGCTCCCATTTATCTTGAACCATATCAAATATCGAAATCCGTCTATAAAAATTGCGCGACATCCATCTTGAGAGCGCGTTTTATCCTATTTGACTTTTTATAAAACTTGGGCTCTTTAGTTATCGGTTTTCCTTCGTAAAGAGGGTTGCCCTGAGCGTTGTTTGGCGTTTGAGAAATATCGATTTCGATTTGATTCTCAGTGTAATTTAAATCTGTCTACCATTTGTTAAAAATAAAACGGAATTCTCGATATTGAATGCGATAAATTAGTCCTTTACTAAAATATTCATTAAAAGAGATATTTTGTTGCGTTTGCTTATGTTTTTGATTATAGCAAGTATTTGATTAAGGTGAGCTCGGGTATTTCTAAAGTAACTCTAAAAGTCTCTGAATCCCTAAATCGTCACGTAGAAGAACTCAGGATGAAATAACAAGCCCAATATTTTTGAAGAAGAATTCCGTTCTAACTCTTATAAACCATTTCAGCTCTATCTATAAACTTTCCATAAGATCCATCCATTTAAACTGTATTTAAGCAAAACATAAATTTGAAAAGCGAGATCAACGATCACAATCCAAAAACTGATTTCGTGTGAAATCATTTTTCCAATCTGATGATTGATTCTAACAAGTAACATATGGTTGACTTACCCGAGTATTGTGAAGAAATGCCCATTCTTGTTGAAAGCGCTACTTTTGGTAGCTGCAAAAATAAATATAAATGGGTTTAAACTGGTTAATTACTTATTTGTTCTAATGAGAAATCAATGCCCTGATCTCTTTTTAAGGCTTTATTATTGAGTTAACACTCCTACAAACTAAAACTCACAGCTTAACATAAAAAGTTCAATTGTGCCTTCAATTCCATTCCGAGATTTGCGTTAGCAGAACACACGTTTCCTTAAGCAGGTGCGAACGAATATAAAGAGAAAAAAAATCAACAATAATATAAAAGGAAGATGGTTGATTTTATTAGGAATTCGGTCTGCGCAGTGGTGAAGAAAAATTAAACCTTTTCTTTTTCATCTAGGCCCTGAATTAGATGTACAGGGCCTTCAGCTCATCATTCATTTGCATTTAGTCTAGTCTGTCTCGTTATTTCTACAGAAAAACATGTTGATGGTTGAATAAATGTTTTGTGTAATCAAGGACCAATAAATTATCACCAAACTATGTGACTAAAAGATTAAATATTTCATCAAGCTGTACAAAACATGACAGAGTATTCTGGAGGGTTCCCAGCATTCTTATGGTCAAACAATTAGTACCGTGATGAAGGTGACAATACATTGCCGAAAGCTAGGTAACTAAAAAAGTTTTTCTTTTTCTTCACCACTGCCCAGACCGAATTCCCAAGAAAATCAACCGTCTTGCAATTATTCGATATCGGTCCAGAAACTGGAAATAATATAAAAAGCAAATTTCGAGAGCGAGAGTCTTATTTACGAAATATGTGTTAGTCAACATGGAATTAAATAAATATTTGAAAATGACCACATCTGAACATTTTCCTCTGAATTCAGCAAACAACTTATGTATGCTGAACGTAGGTACATAATGTAGAAGTCTGTTATTTTTTAAATGAATTGTTTTATGTTGTTATTCAGTATTGGACGTTCAATGTTGACGAAATTACTGCGAATTAATTAGAAAATTAAAACCAATTCACATTAGATTGCATATTTTTTGTATTTATTGTACCTCCAACGAACAATTGAGTTCCAAGTTGATCCATGCAATCTATTTAGTACAAAACTCCTATTTTTAAAGACCCAAATCGGGAATGTCAGGAAAACATATTGGTTATTAAATCYGCATCTTAATAAAGTCAAAGACGCAGTAGCTCTGTAAACTTTTTGTTATTATGTAAGCCTGGTACTAAAAGCCACGACTATAAAAATATTTCATTTAGARTATTATATCTCTAATTTKTATTACCCCTTCTAAGTCATTTTAGCTGATTGGCTTTCTGCAAGATAAAATCTTCAAGTGTTCATTCAAGTTGAGAAATGATAATTTCTTATTGGAAACCGCTTCGCCGAAACGGCCAAGAAAAAGCATTTCCACCCACTCATTTCCTGCAAATAAGAGTTTTTTTCAGTTTAAGTGTTCGATCTAAAGCGATGGAAGTTGTGGATATAAAACTTGAGTTGATATTGCCACATCAATCACCATAATTGCTTTCCGGGTTATCCTTTGAGGCCTGAATGGCGTTAGTTGAGTTGAAGGAAACCAACATTTAAATTTTGGTTTCAAGTGTATTTCTCGATTTGGGTTTCACAGAGTAACTGATACAACGTGATTCAGGCGAAGATAAATTGTGAGCAGGATATTTGCGAAATCATTATTATTGGAGTTGGAATAATTTGGCTTATAGCTGTTTGTATAAGTGAATACCAGGCAGGCATTATCAGGCGTAGAAGTAAATTCATTGATTCAAAATTAAATACATTTTAAAGTTTTGTTTTAATTTTTTAATGCGAGACATTGAGATCATTGACGTTATATTCCAAAGGAAAACCATTCAAAAATTTGAATTTTAGTTTGGAATTATTATTTGATTGTTTATCTATCATTAACTAAGCTGCATTTTTGACGGGTAACCGCATGGTCATTTAACATTATATTTGTCGCGGCAGTATATTTAACACTTCGGCGCGTCGCAATCCGCGGTATTCTTAAAAACATCAGTCGGGATTACGCAATGCTTGTTTTTTGTACCACGAATAAGATGCGAAAGAAAAAATGAATAAGAGAACACGAGAAGAAGCAAGCGTAGTGGAATAAGCGTAATCAGATGAACAATAGAAAGCGTAAAAAATCAACGAGATTTGCAATGTGGTGAAACAAACAACTTCAAGCTGGAAAAAAATATCATTGATTGAATAGTTTATTGAAATAGGAATGCCTGATAATACATTATACTATTATACATTAACATTTCATGAGTTAAGCGTCAAAGTTGATGGAAATTGAGTGTTCCAAAATATATTTTAAGGTAACATGTAATACAAGACAGCAGTAAAAGTATTGATGTGTACAAGATTTAATAATTTCCATGTCTTTTTTTCATTTGAGCTCGGCTGCTGATGTGATAACAAAAAAGAATTCTTTAAAAATTCTTGGTATTAAACAACTAAACGGAGCAGTAACTCATTACCGTTGCTGGGAAAAATTTGATAACTTTTTATGTTTGTTTTTAGATTTATTTTAAGGGACATTCATTAATAATATTTTTAAAATTTCTTCAAAATTTCAGAATTTACAGTTATAGCCAAGTTACGCTTTTTTATAAATGCTCAATTTCCTAAAGTTTCATTTAAAAATGTTGACAATCTTACGGTATTTTCCGCGAAAAATTATGAAATTAATTTCGAATCCTTCGTCGCTTTGTAAAACGTTTAGAAATCCTATTCCAGTTTCGAATTTGGAACAAAAATCAAATAATTGTCTATCAAAAATAGAACAGAATAAGTGACAGTTTATAACAGATTATATGGAAATCTCGTTACAAACCTAAAAGTTTCTGATGATTTTCGTCTTTTCTGACAATAATGGGGTCTTTTCATCCAAAAAAGACAAAATTTATTTTGCTAGAAAACTCGCCCCATTCATAGGTTTGCAGGGAACTTTAGAAAACCCTTATTGTTTATTAAGACTTATTAGAGCACTCGCCAATAAAATTTATCTTCTAATTTTTCACTGAAAATATTGTCAGTATTTTAAGTAAAACTAAAAAATAATGCTATGTTTGCGTCGAAATAATTGCTTGATAGAAAATTGAAAATAACTTTAAAATCTTCTGAGTGATGTAGGCGGCGAATTTTTTATCGAGACTCGTCAGAGAAGCCCTCGAAATATTTAAACACCAAAACACCTTTAACAGAAAAGAAGAAATTACGGCACTTAATCCAGATTGGAAGCCCGTTTTGCGCCAAACAGCGTATGCGCCGAAGCATTTGAATCCCCACCCATCCCCCACGCATGAGCACACACGGCTGGGCTGCATAAATACGACGGGAAATCCAGCAGTTGAACCAGTCTTAGTCGGAAAGCACGGAAGATCACTTCGCCCACTGCCTCATCGCCTTTGAAAATGTCCACCGCAGTTGTGGACGAAACGTCAGGAAGAAATTCCCATAGACCTACGGCTTCAAAGCCCGGAAAACATTCCTAAATGTGATTTAGAATCATTTATTTGGAAAACTCTTGGAAATTGGGCTTTCTTCACTTTTAGGTCAATATTTCTAAACAACACTGTCTAAAACAGAAAAACCGTGTTTTTCCTAACGTTTTACTGTAAAATGCTGGCGAACTGAATCTTTTATGAAAAAAAATAAGGAATCGATTTAACAAGGGTCGAGTTTCTTTCGACTAAGTTCTGTTGCTGGGAAAATCTAGATGACTTTTTTTAGTTGTCTGAGCAATGTAGTAAAACGTTACTCCGAAAAAAGGTTGATGATCTTTTTTTAGATGTGAAAATTCCAGCCACGTAAAGTTTTAATAAATTAATTATAACTCATTAACCGATACCGCAACAACACAATAGCGCAACTCAACACAGTGTTACCCAGGCTACTATACTATTACAAACTGTGATGTTATGTGTTTTTTATGAATAGAAAACAGTTGAATGCTTAAAAAGATGCATATCACCATTAGCGATTGATGACACATTTTTCAGAATGTCTTACATCCATTTAAAACATTCACATTTACCCGGCAAAATATGAATTATATGAAAAGTAACTGTTGTAAATATTGTGTAAACCAGTACACATTTATCCTTTCCTAGTGGATTTTCTCAGAATATTTGTACATGAACGGTCGAGCATTCTTAGTTCAATCATTGCAGTTGTTACAAAAACGATGCTTGCTGAATGAAATAATATCAAGCGACTAAATTTGCTCAAAAATTATAAAAATTTTAAACATTTTTATGTTAAGAGAAGTTTTATTTTAAGATTTGTTGCTCTAAGAATATTAAGTTTCGTAAAGGTATCTATAAATATCACAGCCTTTATAAAACAAATTTGCGGAAATTTCACCACACTGTGTCTCCAATGTAGCATTTGTTCCCAAATTAGCTCCAAGCATTACTCTCGTAAGCATAATAATTATAAGTTTATGGTTGAAGTTGAATAAAGCATAGATATTCAATAGATAACCACGACCTACGTAAGAAAATTAAGTTGAATGTAAAATTATGCTCTAACTAAAAGTAGTGATCAGGCGCATGGAATATTGTGCCTTTCTGAAACTAATTAAGTGCTGAATTGAAATACTGAAAATGAAAGCGAACTTTTAAATATAAGTCGAAAGTTAATAGCAACGTTCAAGTTGTGTTTTGCTTTCAGTTTAATTCGCAAAATGAGATCATCTGAACTGAGTTTAATTGTGAAAATTTTTAATTTGACTGCTCTTCTAGGCATCTAAGAGAACTGGAAATTAGACCGTTCCATACGTAATCAACGGTAACACGTGAGGAAAAGTAATTTGAAATGTTTTAGCACATAGTTACTTTTGTTGATTACCCAAGCAGCGAGTGGTTTTATGTTACCCCTGCAAATCTCTAAATAAAGATATTTCCTGGGGAAAGGTTTTTTTACAGATTCGAATATTCTCAGTCTTTTCAAGATAGAAGATAACCAACCCTAGCTAAATCACGATGCCAAGTAAATATTCAGTTCACGCGTTGGCATACATTTCTTGAATCCTTCTGATAAAATTCCTCAAGTCGTATCCTGAGCCCGCTGAACGTGTTAAGGGTCCTTGTCGGCAAAACAAATAGAAAAATTCCCCATAAACAACGCCCGGGTGTTCGTAAGATAAAACCAAAAGGGTGCTTTAAATCTTGCAGACATTCGGGAGTCATTTTGAACTGAAGAAGGTTTTCGTTTATATTAACCACCAGACTG